ACTACGGGAGTAGCGTAGCTTTTCAAACACTGTTTCTACTAGAAATTTTCAAGTGTGGGCCAACCATTTAAAAGTACACACCGAGTTTCACCGAAAATTATTTCGATTATATTGAAATATTTGTTGTATTTAATTCGTTTCAAGCCAAAGCTTATAAAAATCGCTGAAATATAATTGTTCGCCTTGCAATTTTTGAGTGGCTATAAAAATAGGTTCTAGTGCCGCCAACAGCAAGTTAATTTCCTCCCAATTTGATTCCGTTAACTGCAATGTTTCACTTGAGTTTTCTTTTGAAAACTCCTTATATACGCATACGTTTTTCAACATAGTGTACGTTGAGATCCACCTTGTTGGCACATCCAGTATAGGTTGGGGATGTATCCATAATTTTCAAAAAGTATTGTAATTTTTAAGTGCAATGTTATGCATTTAATTTGTTTACCTGTAAGTCGGAGTTCGCAATGTTTTTACTATGGATCGTGCGCTATCGACAAGGAATCTCCGGCAGGTCATGAAAAGCTAATTGCATGGAATGGGCGGCACATCTAATCGAATGTATAGAGTGAACGCGAATATCTTTCATAACGTCGTCATAGTCAAACTCGTCACAAAATTCAGGTTTCAATTCTTTGTTCATGAAGTCGATCGCTTTAATGACATTCTTGCCATTGTCTGAAGTGACAGTGTAGACTTGCTCCATTTTTATTAAAAACTCGTTCAGCATATTTTCAATTTTCATGCTTCATGGAGCGCAATCGCGCCAAGCGTCTTTACTTCAATGCGGTGGTCTCGATAGTATTGGACATTGATTCCCAATATACCCCTGTTGACCCACACTAGAAATATAACTAAATAAATTGAATAATTGAGGAATCCTTGATTATGTCCTTTAAGGACATTCATTTGATCATTTGACATTCATACATCATTTGAAAGTAACTGCGCCACAGATCATAAAAATGTAAGTGGTTTATTAATAGTCCACTCGGTTCAGAAGTTATTCGCATTAAATTTTTATTTTCAATTTTTATAGTAAAAATTAAATCGTAACACTTATTTTCAATTTTTTTAATAAAAATTGAATCATATTTTTTATTTTTATTTTTTTTATAAAAATTGAAAAATTGTTCTTATTCTTAATCATTATTATAAAAATTGAAAATAAGAGTTATATTTCAATTTTTGTCATAAAAATAAACAAATAATTTTTATTTTATAATTTTTATTTTAAAAATTATAAACACGAAAGTTGAGTCATTTCCGATCGTTCAGTTATACGGCAGCTATAGCATATAGTCGGCCGATCCTTACGAAATTTAGCATGTCAAATTATTTTGCCAAAAATAGCGCTCGTGTAAAATTTGAACTCTCTTACTCTAAAAACACCGAAGTTATACCATTTCCGATCAATCAGTTATATGGCAGCTATAGGATATAGTCGGCCGATTCCGGTCGTTCCGACTTACATACTGCGTGCAAAGGAAAGAAGGGTGTGTGCAAAGTTTCAAGTCGATAGCTTTAAAACTGAGAGACTAGTTCGCGTAGAAACAGACAGACAGACGGACAGACGGACATGCTCATATCAACTCAGGAGGTGATCCTGATCAAGAATATATATACTTTATAGGGTCGGAGATGTCTCTTTCACTGCGTTGCACACTTTTGACCAAAATTATAATACCCTCTGCAAGGGTATAATGACTGGCAACGGAACCAAGACTTTTCAGTCTTTACTATTTATTAATAAAAATTCACTTGATCAACAATTTTTTTTTTCACTATTATGTACTGAATATTAATTTAGACCGATCTAATCCCAAAGAAAGGAATATTTTTTGGGGGAATTTTTTTTTCTTACTCACCAGTCGTTGATTTTAATTTTTCAATATAAAACTTGTCACTGTAATTTAAACAATTTTTTTTCAAAAAATAATTTAGAGATTATACTTTAAATTTTGCGTCTGGCTTCTAGCCGGTTGAAAAGTATACTGATGCTTTCTATACAAATTCCGCCTTATATAGGCAGGAATTCGACCTCACAGCCCACTACAAGACTAAATTTTTCCCCAAAAATCCAAAGATTGAATATTGACAGATTTGATAGAAAAATGCCAGCCTGTTGGTTTTTTGGAAAACCAGGTTCTGCTCTTTTAAGCTGCCAGAGTGCTCATGTCTGCGAAAACCATTTTTATTCCCTCTACTGCTCGTAGTGGAAACTCTTTGTGGCTTATTAAAATTTCTAGCCAGAGGGCCAACAAACCGATATCTTTTGGTAGCTGAGGAAGGCAATTCGTTGGACATTTGCCGTGGGCCTAAATTTAGTTATGTCTATGCCCTTGCGTTCGCCTCGGCCTTTGCCTCTCATCTTTGGAATGTGCCTTTGCCAGCAGCAGTTAAATCAATTAATTGGCCCTAGATTTCTAAGTTTTTCCTCGCCGACTCCCTTCCGGCGGCGGCATAGGTGCCGTGATTTATTATTGCAGGAATGCCGAAACAACGAAGTAAAATTCTTCGGCTTTGACTTTGGCACGCATTCGAGGATGAGTAGTCCAGGTGACAGTGGGGCTGCCTCGACATTTCGGGAGGTGTGGCATTTGCATACAAATAGTTTGTCGGCTAAAATATGAACCACATGAGCCGGGTGCGATTCTTTACTTAGTTGTTGTCAGCCCGCGGCGGATTCGCGACTGTTGCGTGTCGCGAGGGGGAAAATTTCAAGTCTTTTCCTCGGATATTTTCTATTAAATTAGTTTTAGTGTCAAATGCTGACACCCAAAATGTCAAAATTTCAGCGACAGGGCTTAAAAAGATTGATATGTTTTCATTTAAAATTTGTTATTTGTTTATCAAGATACTATACTCCCACATGGCTTTATGGTATAAATTAATGACATGGAAATTATCAATAGTATCCACCAAAGCCACCAAATTCTTGTTGCTGCTGTTGCTCTTGGCCGAAGCCATCTCTAAAGCCTCCGAAACCGGCCTGTTGCTGTTGCTGCTCTTGACCTCCAAAACCGTCTTGTTGCTGTTGTTGCTGTCCAAACTCTCCTCCAAAGCTGGAAAAGCCTTCACCGTATTGCTCTTCTTGCTGCTGCTGTCCCCCGAATCCTCCATATCCAACAAAGCCAAATTGGGGACGAGCCATGGTGATGGAAAGAAAGCAAACAAGCAATATCGTATCGTATGTTTTCAAAAAAAAAATAGTTACCAAATATTTCAATATTTCAAGAAAGCAAACAAGCAATATCGTATCGTATGTTTTAAAAAAAAAAAATAGTTACCTAATATTTCATCTCGAAAAAAAGAGTAAGGGTATGCGTACTGTTCGAAGGCACATGAAACACTATTCCTCTCAGCGGAAAATCTTCCTTTTATAGGAGATTCAGTCAAGCACAGCTTGACATCTCGTCTTTCTTATTTCGACCGAGTCTTGCTCATATACTTAGTGGGAAGGGGATCACTCTCGATAATGCAAAGTTCTCGACACTCTTCCAAAATACGTATGATCCTCCTCACATTCAGATGGAAGTAAAATTTTCCTTGTTGAGAGCTTGTTATAAAAGTCTAGTTATCAGTAGACTTGCGGCATGAATTCCTATGTATGTAATCATACTATTTTTATGATTGTCAACTTATTTCAAAAAGCATCTTAATCATATAAAAAATTCTCTCTGTTTCAGAAAGAGACAACCTTTTAATCAAGCTTATGTATTCTCACTGGATTTGATTTTATTTCTTAGGTTTAAAGTTTAGGTTCTTAGGATTAAGTTTTTCTAATCTTTTCTTATTGTAAGTAAAGCAACTTACAAAAAGTCAATTGATTAAGCCAATCACACTTGTCTACAGATCTATAATTACTCTCTTTGTACAATTTTTTTTTAATTTTATAAATAATTGAATTTTTGTACAAAAATGATTTAGTTTGAAGTGGATTCCTCGGTTTAGATCTGATCTCATACAATGCTAATATTCAAGCTTTAGCCACAAAAGACTCAGAATGATGAATTGAATTTATTTTCAAGTCTTGTTGACAAATTTGGCTGTAGGCCATCCTGCCATCACTTGAACCAAGTCCTGATACATGAAGCCGCACATGTGAATGCTCATCGTTGCATCCTTGGTCCTCATCTACTTGCAATCTTTTCCACTCCTTTTTCACCCCGTGCCACCGGTCTAATAACTTAAAATCCTATAATAAAGCTACTTACTGCCTCTCTCGTGGCATGGCCTTCGTTGCTCTAACAATAACTATTTTTCTTCGGATTTGGCTTTGGCTTTGGCTCCAGCTTCAACTGAGTTGTCAAGGCTTTCTGCCACCGCAAATGTGCAAGTCAAGTCAAGTGCATACGTCAGTGTTTTTATTCAGCCAACCCAAACCCATTTCCCCGATTTTATTCCTTAGCCCCGGGTCCCAGCCAACCAGGTCTAAGTGCATAGCATCCATATCTGTTTTCATGTTTTTTCTCATTTTTGGTTTAGTTACTATTCAGATTGAATTAAGATTAAATTTTTCATGGCCGAATCTTTGAAATCGAAACTCTTCCCGGAGACTCAAGGGTGTGGATCCCTGCGCTCTGCCAGATAATAAACGCACTATTCCATTCATACAAGAATTTTAAAATCAATTCAATGAAAATGTTAAAACAATTTACAAAGATATTGTTACGAAGTTGATTTCGAAATGACTTAAAGTTCATGGCCTGAACACGTATGGCTCTTTTTTCTTGGGGCAATCCCAGTCAGTCATCTCCTGGGGTATTCATTCCGGACTTCTTATCTGGCCCTGCACGCAGCTTTCCGTGCATAATTAACAGTTATATGCGATTTCGTAAAGTTCCATGGTGTGTGGTGAGACGGTCTGGGCAGGAGATGTCCTCACTTCTCGCCTCGCACAAATTACGACATGTGGCTGCCATCGTTCGCCCATCTCCCTAGCCATTTCAAGATTATGGCGGGCCGGGATGTCGTTTTGAGCCTGGCAGACACTTTTAATTGAGAGACACTTGGCTGAGCTGTAGCGTGCAATTAAAATGCCATTACATGAGAAAACAAAGCAACAACTGCACAGTGGGATAAGGGAGTTTGAATATAAAAGTTAAATATAACATAGTATCAGATAATTCCTACTATCGCACTCTTTTTTTTCAGAAAAACTTATACGGCTTTGATACGACTTTATACGGATCTTTTTTACCTTTAACGGATCATCGCTAAACTATGGACAAGAGAATCTTCGACGATTACTTGAACTCGGTGGGATCTGACGAGAGCATCCTGTCCGTTGCTGACAGGGAAGACAGGGACAGGGAAGTCTTGCAAGGCCAAGAAAAAGCCTACATGTGCCCGGAAACAGATGAAGTGCTCGAAGCCTATGAAGACGTGCAAGTCAAAACCTAAGAAAACCTGCAAGCCCGGTCCTATTATGAATAATGGATACCTTAACTTCGTGCGTGCCTAGAAGGAACTGATTAGAAGGGCGGCCAGAGCCTGGTGCCGTTTATCCGAGGAAAAAAAAATATATACCGGCGCATGGTGAGTTTTTTGCATTATGTTATTTACTATCCTGTAACTAATCTTCTGAAATCCCGCAGGCTTGCAAAGTTACAACTAGTGAAAGACATAAAAGACGCAAAGTGTGCAATCCTGAAAAATGCGAGAAATATTAGGTGGCTCATCTAAGTCTTCTTCAATCAATCCCCGTCTTCTGGCCCCTGTTAATTTTGATGTGCTATTGGTGGCTCATCTAAGTCGTCTTCAATCAATCCCTGTCTTCTGCCCTCGGCTAATTTTGATCTGAAAAATTAAGGTTTAGGTTTCCAAAACAGTCTATGGTATATTATTAATAAAGCATAAATTATTTTTTCGGCCTAATAAAGTTTTTATAATGGGAGGAAAGGGGATCAACCAAAATATACGCAAGAGCATGCTTTATGATGCTATTAATCGGACAGAGATAATTTCAGTTCCTATTATATTTAAGAGAGAACTGCTAATAAGCTAATATTTTTAGTTTTAGATTTCCGTTTCTATTCTATTTTTAAAATGGACGGTCGTGTTATTATAGCTTTGCTTTACGTTCTGATTACTTGCAGTCTGACTTCTGCATGAATTATATATGTGAGTTGATTTATTTTGAAGAGTTTTTGAAAAATTAAAATCAATTCTTCTATAAAGGGACCAATCAGTGGCCTAAAACAGATGACTTCATGGACCATGTTGGAAGAAAAATAGGATTAGTCTATGGGAAAATTTTTTAACAAATCACCAAGAAAAATGTGTTCATCCCAAGGGTTATGATCTGAAAATTAAAGCGTAGGTTTCCAAACAGTCCGTAATATCAATAAAGCAAAAATTCACTTTCGGTCAATATAAGTTTTGATAATGGGAGAAAAGGGTACAAAAAAATATTCGCAAGAGCATGCTCGATGTTTCTCTTATTCGGACAGAGATTATTTAATTATTATAATAGTACTTCGCATACCGCCGCGATAGCAAGCTAATCAGTCTTTATTATTCTGCTAAAATGAAAGGTAGTGTTATTGTAGCTCTGCTGTTCGTTTTGAGTGCTTCGACTCTAAAAGTGGGAGATGGCGATAGGAATAGTGGATTTTTAAAGGAATGAAAGTTCGTTTATTCACAAAACTCTATGTCAAAAAGCCATCAGGCATTCCTTAAATTGGACAAGCAGTTTGACAAATGCTGCCAATCCAGAAAGACATCCAACAAGTTCGACGACTGTGCTTCTTGTTTAATTAAATGTAAAAAGTCTGACAATTCAAATATGAGAAGTCGCGTCTGGTATATTCTTCCCCCTGTGGATCAAACTAACAATCCCGTACCCCGTTAAATTTATATCAACATTAAGCATCAAAGATCCAGTCACTAATAATCCAAGTTACTACAAACACATAAAAGTAAATTGACTCGTAATCGCCGGCATGGTCAGAAAAAATCAATAATTTTAATTTAACTTAGATTTTGTTATTCTTTTAATAAATTTTTTATATTATCGGAGAGGAATGGTAATTTTTTTCAAAAATTCCGATGGCAATATATTCAGAAGATCGTATTTGATGTATAGCATATATGTGGTGTCTAATCGGACATATGTACACAGATTATTAAAGCTCTTATTGAGTTTTAAGAGCAGACTTCTGATAATATAATATTACCGTCACTTAAAAATATCAGTTTTGAGTAGGGAACTGCTTCAAAATTATGAGGAAATATAAATTATGGATAAGTTGATTTTAAAAATAGGGGCCAATAACGCGTGAACAGGTCGGACAAGTGGCACTCGGTGTTTGGTGTACATTTAGATACATTTGTATCTCGTGGCTCGCTGCGCGTAGCACGTGTATCTGTTTATTCAGCTGTACAAGCCCATGGACTAAATTCAATTTATTATTCCACTATATGAGCTTTCGCACTTAACTTGCATGAATATATAATGAGGTCTCCGCTATGGAAATGGAACGGGTAACTGCTAACGCTGAACGCTAAATGGGAAAGGTAATGCGGAGGAAGTAAGGGGTGAACGGGGCAGACTGGGGCTGATTGGGGCGGAAAGGTATCGCAAGATTGCGTGTTCGAAGCTTGCCAACAACAATCTGACCCGGCGCCTGTTGTGAAACGGCTAAATTGAATTATTAATAACACGCAACGCTCGCACTGAAGTGGATGCTATATCTGCAAATGTGTATAATGCATATTGTGGTTTTGCGGAGACATCCTTGGGACAGTTGGCAAGGAAGAAAGTATAGCCAAAGGGCAAAGAAAGGAAATGATTTAAATGGTGATTTTTACCAGCCATGCTGCCAGCCTGCGCCTCCTCACGATTCTGTGCCTGGGTCCCATGTGTCAAATGCTCCTGGTGATGCGCCTCTTGGTCCGCATGTGGGTAAGTTCCCGCCACTGGATGGATCACCTGAGATATGGCCTTAGCCTCTAATTTTTGGTTTCTCTAGTTCAGTATGTGGATTGTTGTTTGAGGAGCAGAATTTCGTACCTCAGCTAAAAAAATAAACCAACCAAAGCAACCGGCTCTTTCACTGGGAAACGCAACCGAAAATCACTTTCACTCCGCAAACTGCCAAACTGCAGGCATTTATGACAGCCCAGCAGAAAGGGGGGCTGGCCGGCGATCTCCTGGAACGTGTGTGGCACAAGGGCCAAAATCGCATAACAAAATTGTTGCTGAAAAGTTGAACAAATATTGAGGTCAGCAGAATGTCGAGTAGAGTCTCGAGCGGGCAGCATTGTTGCTGGTGCAAACTGTTTGCTAGCCTTTGGCACAAACTTCTTACACGCTCCCCGGCCCCGACGCCAGTCGGACTCGGATCCGGATCCGGAGCCTTTGCCGTGGCCGTTGTCGTCGTCGTAGCCGTGACTCTGAGTCCAGAGTTGAGCTGGGGGGAGAGGCCTCCGCAGAGGCTCGCCCTGAACGAAAAATATTCATATTCAAATATTTGTCAATAATACAAAATGGAAAAAATGAGTTGTTGCTGTTCGAGTTTGCATGGTGCAATGCAGACGTCGACGCAGCCCGGGGGTCCGGTTCCGATGCCGTCTGTCCCGACAGCCCACTACCATACCCTGAGCCCCGAACCTACAACCCTGCACCAACATCCCCAAAGCCCCAAAACCCCACACCCTCAGGCGTGCCAGCTGCCTTCGCCTCGAATTGAGAAACTGCCGCAAATGCTTTTCGATTTTTCGTTTTGCCACGGACAAGCCTTGGCTTTTCATATTGCATAATTGATTGGGGGTGCTGGGGGCGGAGTGTGTGAGTTTGGAGGTGTGGGCTGATTAAATACCAAGCAGACGGCATTGTCACTCCCCCTGGCGGCCCAGGCCCACTCCGCCAGAATTTATGCACATTTTCAATATGCATTCAGATGCCATTCCCCATGCATTGATTGCCGCATTGGGCCGGAAAAGAGCATTGCCAAGTTGTGTGTTATATTTACGTTTTCCTTGGTAATAATTAAATTTCAGGATCTTAAAAGCGATATTCGCAAAAAATGCAACAAGTAGGATTTTAGTCTTGAATCGACATAAACCAAATTATAAAAGCATTAAGAAGGAATCAGGAACTTTAAGCTGGAAACACTTTTCTTGTTAAAACACCATTACACATCAGTTAATGAACTTAAATAAAATATGATACTTTGTATTTCTCTGGTAGCTTCCTCTGATAACTTATTCTTCTTAATCTCATACCTAGTTTCTTGCATACTAATAACCCATCCTGAAAGGATGTTCCCTAAGTTTTTTTCCTCCATTGCACTTCAGGGGCACCTATTCATATAGTTAGTTTACCCTCTTGGAATGATGTACTAGAGCTCGGAGAGCCCTCGACGAATCTCAAGTCGAGATATGGCCACACAGTAACCTAACGAGCCACAGGCATCTTCGGGCCCCATCCTTGTGACTATATAGTAATGAGCAACGGTACGGGTCCTCGTTTCTCTAAGCATGAGAAATTTAATTTTAAGCCACCCCACATGCACACGCACAGTGCCACATACATAATTGTGTATTCACGTAAGAGATATGGTAGCTGAAAGAAGCTCTATCAACTGGAGAGTCTTGGGGCAGGGAAGCCGGGCCGAGCCGGGCCGGGGCGTGCCGGGCATGGCTTGCCTTAACTATAAGATAATGACACGTGAGGTATCGCCTCCCGGGGCTTGGAGTGCTTGGTAAACTGCGATAACATAGAAACGACCTGAATGGCGGCTCACTTTAAAACACTTAACCCTTGACGCCCAAGCCAACCACCAGCACGCCCAACCACCATCCCCCTCTACCAATCGAATCCTTAAACCAACGACCCACCCAGGCGATTGCACGCACTTTTAAAGCGCAACTTGATGGAAAACTGCCAAAGAGTTTGACTTCCTTGTTGGCGGATTGGGGCCCTAAAGTAGGACATGCCAATGTGCAGGAAAGGTACACTTTGTGGCAAACTGGGAGAGAGCTACTTACTTCGGAGTACAAAAAAAGTAATTAGGTCATCAATTGGCATGCCAATTTATGGCTGAAATGGTTTAAGATTGTGGCATAGCGAGTATGTACTTTTTAAATAAGGTCTTTCATAAATAAAACAAAGAGATTACTTTTGTGATTTTCTCTTCTCAGGACAATTTCCGGTATAAATTAGTAACTTTTACTGTTTGATGTTCAAATCAGCTAATCAATTGGAATAACGAAAACTAGGGATAAACCGAATACCGAACGAATAAAGCCACCGAAATGTGAAGAGAAATCATTGAAGTTTGCAAACAAAATTTGCATTTCAAATAGCCACATGAAACATAGGTATGTCCTTGTATTTGTTACCACTTCCGTTGATGTGATTTGCGAAAGATATGCAGAGTAGTATCTGACATGTAATGTGGCCAGTTGGGAAAAGATGCGAGACGGGTCTACCAAGACCCTCGGCGAAAAGAAGAAAAAAGATTTTCTGCTCCAGACTTGGGCCCCAAGGGTGCCAACTACTTAGAGAAGCAGAAACAGAGTGGCTAAAAAACACACGCAAAGCAAAGCACACATCTTTGGTCCAAAAGTTGTGAACAAACTCAAAATTCTTACTTAGAAATCACTGAGAAAAGTAGGGTGATTTCTTTGGAGAAAATTATCTGAAAAATATAGAGAAAGTCACTTTTCTCGACATTTTAATGAATAATTTAATTTCTGAAGCTTGTGGTCTTATGCTGATACTATGTTATATTTAACTTTTATATTCAAACTCCCTTATCCCACTGTGCAGTTGTTGCTTTGTTTTCTCATGTAATGGCATTTTAATTGCACGCTACAGCTCAGCCAAGTGTCTCTCAATTAAAAGTGTCTGCCAGGCTCAAAACGACATCCCGGCCCGCCATAATCTTGAAATGGCTAGGGAGATGGGCGAACGATGGCAGCCACATGTAATTTGTGCGAGGCGAGA